AAACGGTCTTCTATTATTTATGATCGCCCGGTGAAAGAGATAAATTGATGTAACAAAATCAACATTTCGTAAAGCTACAATTTTTGAATATTATATTCAGCGACCCTCTCCGGCTTCGGACGCTAAGTTGCTTTAGACACTAAGTATCACCGACACAAAGAGCACAGAAAGTATGACAGGCCACGCAGAATTTTTTTTTTTTGAGAGAAATATTATTCTGTATGAGCCATTAATATTTTTTTGAAAATACGATTACATTTATACAAGTAAAAATACGAATGTTTCAATTTCAAATTCTCTCCACACTTTTACGAGTTAAATTATAATATTTTGTTTCATTGAAAAATGGATTTCCGTCGTAAACATTAGCCAAAGACAAAGCTCAAATGCAGACGGTGGTACTCTTCGATTATTCTCTCTGTTCTCTCTATTCTCTCTATTCATTTTATGTACTATATTTAATGCGCATAATAATAATGGCATTATTCAAATCACGGTCCTGAGCCACTTGCATCCATCGACTTCCTGCATTTTCTACTAGGTTGTCACACTATTTAGTGGGGGGCCACCTTACACTTCGTCTACCGGTACAAAGCTGCGACTCGAAAACTTTTTTCCTCATCAGTTGTCAGTTCTTTGAGCTACATGGCCCGCCCATTGAAATTTTAGCTTAGTAATCCGCTGTGCTGTATTGGTTACTCTGGTTCTACTGCGGATATCCTCGTTTTTAAGTCTATCACGCAGAGAAAAACCGAGCGTAAACCTCATAGCTCATGGGACATTACATGGGACTAAGATCCCATTAAGCGCTGGTTTTCAGGTACTCCTTCCTCCCTGAGATTTTACATGGGTGTCCTGAGAATTGCGAGTTCCCCAATCACATCTATAATTCACTCGTCATCATCATCATCCTCATTACAGCCTTTCACAAGTCCACTGCTGAACATAGGCCTCCCCCAAGGAATGCCACAAAGCACGTTGCTGAGCCACCTGCATCCATCAACTTCCTGCATGTCTTACCAGGTTGTCACTCCATATAGTGGGGGGACGCACTACACTTCGTCCGCCGGTACGAGACCGCCACTCGAGAATCTTTTCTCCCCATCAATTGACGATTCTTCTAGCTATAGGGCTGGCCCATTGCCACTTCAGCTTACTAATCCGTTGAGCTATGTTGGTCACTTTGGTTCTACTGCGGATGTCTTCATTTTTAAGTCTATCACGCAGAGAAAAACCGAGTGTAAACCTCATAGCTCATGGGACATTACATGGGACTAAGATCCCATTAAGCGCTGGTTTTCAGGTACTCCTTCCTCCCTGAGATTTTACATGGGTGTCCTGAGAATTGCGAGTTCCCCAATCACATCTATAATTCACTCGTCATCATCATCATCCTCATTACAGCCTTTCACAAGTCCACTGCTGAACATAGGCCTCCCCCAAGGAATGCCACAAAGCACGTTGCTGAGCCACCTGCATCCATCAACTTCCTGCATGTCTTACCAGGTTGTCACTCCATATAGTGGGGGGACGCACTACACTTCGTCCGCCGGTACGAGACCGCCACTCGAGAATCTTTTCTCCCCATCAATTGACGATTCTTCTAGCTATAGGGCTGGCCCATTGCCACTTCAGCTTACTAATCCGTTGAGCTATGTTGGTCACTTTGGTTCTACTGCGGATGTCTTCATTTTTAAGTCTATCACGCAGAGAAAGGCCGAGCGTAACCCTCATAGCTCGCTGAGCGACCTTGAGTTTCCTTATCCAGCCAGCAGTGAAGGTCCACATCTCAATTCCATAGATCATCACTGGCAACACGCACTTGTTGTACAGTCTCGTTTTTAAGTTTATACCTGACGAGAATATGTGCCGTAATTTCCCGAACACTGCCTAACCGAGTTGAATCAATCAATTGACCTCTCGGTCAAAGTAGGACTTACCTAGTCGGACCATTTGTCCCAGTTAAACATACTCGTCTACAACTTCGAGCTTAGTGATCTCAACAACTACCAGCATAGGTTTGACATGGACATTACACATACACACACGCGCGAGCGCGTGTGTGAGTGTTGCAGGCCTGCTGTACACCTTGTTTAATTTATGTTGGGAACTGAAGTGGGTACCGGAAGACTGGTGCAAAGCCGTTATAGTCCCAATATATAAGGGAAAGGGATCGCAGCAGGTCTGTAAAATCTACCGTGGTATCAGCTTGCTTAGTATTGTGGGTAAACTGTATACTAAGGTGTTAATTGAAAGAGTTATGGAGGAAACTGATGGAAAAATTTGGGGTGTGCAAGCTGGATTTAGAAAGGGGATGGGGTGTACGGGTCAAGTCTTTTCCATGCGCATGATAGCGGAGAAGTTTTTGGCCAAAAACCAGAAAGTTTTTTGTGCGTTCATGGACTTGGAAAAGGCTAATGTCAGAGTGGACAGGAATGTGTTATGGCAAACACTGAACTCATTTGGGTTGAGCGCTGGCTTGATACAGGCATTAAGGTCTCTTTATAGGGACTCTAGTGCTTGTGTCAGGATCAACGGGGTCACACACCCACGCACACACACATTATATATACCTAGTTAGGTCATAAATTCTGTCACATGTTTAATATTAAATAATTGAAACAAGTTTATTCATTATATAACCACTTATATACCAAAATGAACTTAAAACATAGATTCTTATGACACTATAGTTTATTCAAAATGACCTCCGTGATATTGAATACAGGCCTTCAATCTGCGCGGCCAGTCGTCTATCGCAGCACGAACGAGGTCCATGTCAATATCGGCGACTACCTTAATCAAGGATGTCTTGAGTGACTCCAAATTAGGATGAGGCTTTGAGCACGCATTTTCCTCCAAGTGTTGCCATATCTTGTAATCTAACGGATTCAAATCTGGACTGGAAGAGGGCCAGTCTTCGTGCCGGATGAAGTCGATTTCACGCGCCGCCAGCCATTCTTGTGTGCTCTTCGCTCTATGAGCTGGCGCCGAATCTTGTTGGAATACCCAGTGCCTGTTATTGAACATGGTACGAGAAAAAGGTTCCACAAGGTTCGTCAGGACTGTATTTTGATACACAACTGCATTCGTTTTTACACCTTTCTCACAAAAATGTACCTCTGTTAAGCCCCAATAAGAAACTCCCAACCATACCATGAGCGAGGATGGAAAATGACCTCGTTGGACACGCGGAATACGGTTGCTCGCTTCTTCACTACTGTGTGCGTACACCTTATCATTTTGTTTGTTGTAGCTCTCTTCTACGGTAAAAAATTTTTCATTCGAAAAAAGAATTTCCCGATATTTTTTCCCGGGTACCGCTTCAACAAAGCGCGGCATCTCTTCAGCCTCAGCTCCATTAGACGAGCATTCAAACGATGTGCTGTTTTTCTTTTATATTCCCGAAGCCCTAAGTCTTCATTTAACACCCTTTTCACCGTGGTTCTGCTTAACCCCATCTGAAGGGCCAACAGTTTCTGCTTACGTTTGGGATTTCTTTGAATTCGCGCCTTCACAGCTTTTATCACTGCTGGAGTCCTAACAGACCGAGGGCAACCACTTCTTGACCTGTCATCTATACTAGAGTCTTCATTGTATCGTTTGATGGTATGATAAACGAATCTTTTGGTTATATTCAAATTTTTCAGTATGTCAAAAATTTGAATTGGCGCGTAACCGCAACGATGCAACGCAATAACTGCAACACGGTCTTCTTTAAGCGTCCACTCCATATTTAAAAATGAGTAAAATTCTAAAAAGTATACAGTTTTATTTTCAGGAACAATTCGAAATTCGAATTCAATAAACTTTTTTGTGGCCAGCATTATAAAAGAAACGTTTTTACTGTGTGACAATACTTATGACCTGACTAGGTATATATATATATGCCATCACTTCCTTCACTGTTGGCCGTATGAGGAAGCTCAAGATCGCTCAGCGAGCTATGGAGAGGGCTATGCTCGGGGTTTCTCTGCCTCTGCGTGTTAAACTTAGAAATAAGGATATCATTACAACCAGAGTTGCCGACATAGCCCAAAGGATTAGTAAGCTGAAGTGGCAATGGGACGGCCATATAGATCGAAGTACCGACAACCGATAGGAAAGAAAGGTTCTCGAGTGGCAGCCTCGCACCGGCGGACGAAGTGTAGGGCGTCCCCACTCTAGATAGAGTGATATGTAAGACATGCAGGAAGTCGATGGATGCAGGTGGCTCAAGACCGTGCCTTGTGGCATTCCTTGGGGGAGACCTATGTTCAGCAGTGGACTTGTGAAGTGCTGTAATGATGAAATGATGATAAATGCCATTGTCCATTAAGGTATTTTTGCCGCACCATGATGCTGTTGTCGATCTCCGGAGCAATTCGCATGATTTGATATCATCAATTTAGGGACAGAAGGAGAACAGAAAGTAGAAACAGAGTCACCGTCACCGTCACAGCTTATTAAAGTCCATTGTTGAACATAGGCCAGTCCCATAGATTGCCTCATAGGGGAGATTTTTCCTTAGTTGCCACTCTTGGCAAGCGGCTTGGCAACCGGTTTTTTATTTTTAGTCTGATATGTTTTCCTCTGTCACCTCTTACGACACCTACGGAATTATATAGGAACCGGGTATGGTGTAAGTAAATGTGATACAAATGTAGAGGATAGGAAAATGTATATTAGAATACCACAAATTGGAAGGAATGGAATCAGTCGCTGGTAGCTCGGGAACGAAGTTGAACTGAACAGGTAGACAAAAAGAATAACTAAAACACGCTAACACAACAAACTAAAACAAGTATGTAATTAAAAATAAATTCAATTAAAGTTATAACTTTTATTTCGAAATTTATATGTATGTAAATAAGTTAATACATAGCATTAGACTTCACAATTTATTATTTAAACAGTTGGTATTACGATCTAATATCTCAGATAGTTTTATTTCAAGCATTCCGTTAATATCTGCTGGTACTTAGTCAGTAGTCAGTGGTGTTTAGTCACTATTTAAATAGCTAATATTCAGTAGCTTCGATAGCGAGAGGGAGCTCACTTTCGCCCGCAATCATTCTGTTCGGGCGGCTGATTGTAATTGGTACTCGGATGCAGACGACTGGGTTGTTGCTTTGGTCCACGATTCTAAACTCAACCGTTACTGAGGTACCCTGTAATAAACAAATTTGCGAATGAATCTCTTTTTTTTAAGTGAAAGATAGGAGGTTTCAGTTTGTTCTGTGCTAAATATCCTTATTCAAATCTGTCTACTCACACGCTTTTAATTGTAAGTTGTCAGAAGTGTTAAAGAAAAAATTTTTACTAAGAAGATGGCAGAGAAAACACCTCACGTTATAAGCCAGTAAATAGCCGAATAAAATAGTAATTAAAAGATAAACAATTAAAACATAATGCATAACAGAATATTTCGCAAATAACAATGAAAATAAAAACGTACTTACCACTGGGAACCATCTATCTATGTACATCCGCAGGGTGTACTGGACATTTGTTCCAGAGTTGACCGGACATCTGGTGTTCGTGAGGTGATTGCAGGTGTTTGCATTGTTACCAAGATCATATGGGACGGGGACAGAGCCCACGTAAGCGGTCGCTAAGGTGCGCATGGACTGCATGTTACGTGCTGAAATTTGATTAAGTATGCTATTATAATAAAAGTTTGTAAGATATTTACATTTTAACAGATGAATACTAAATGGAACAATTACTTACGAGCTCTGAATGTCATGTGGATAACGGCATCTCGGAGCTGAGGCAGGACACAAGGAGGGTTGTTGCAGCCTTCGATGCGTGTACTGGCAGGCAAAGCTCCAGCGTGATGGATGCCTGTAATTCGAAATCAATCATTTTTTTTGTGTACATTTATTTATAACATTTGGAAATATCTATGATAAAAGGCAAATTATTTCTATGAAGCGGTTTTAACTTTTCAATAAAACATAGAATTTCATTGTAACGTCTTTGTGATTAATATCACGTAATAAATCTTTCTCAACTCATTCTTAGAGATGTGTCTTCCGATGAATTCGTCAACTTGTATGCATTCTTTGCAAAATTTACCTAGACTCACCACGATAAGCAGCCAGGTTGGTAAGCATAGGATTGGATAGTCGAGAAAATTTCAGCGGCTTGGGCGCATTTTTTGTCATCAGTGGTTCGCAAGGACTTGGTTAATCAATAAGAAAAGTGAGGTTGACGACAACATAAAGAGTTCAAAGTTCTTCCTTATGATTAGTCGTTATTTTTAGGTTTATCTAAAACCTCTCTTCCGATTCCAACTCGGTTGGGTAGCATTCGGAAGATTACGACGCAACATCTTCTCTTCACTTATACCTCAAAACTGGGAAACAAGTGTGTACAATTAGTGCCTATTGCCAGTAATGATATATGGATCTGAGATGGGGTGTTTCACCACTGGTCTATTGACGAAGCTTAAGCTCAGCGTGCTAACGAAAGAGCTATGCTTGCGTAGACTTCTTAATGAAAACATCAGCAGTAGAATTAGAGTAACCAACATTTTTTTTATAGGATAGGGTGACAAACGAGCACACAGTCCACCTGATGGTAAGTGGTTGCTCTGACCCATGGACATCCACATCTATCCTCAATAAAGGATCAAAACGCAGATGCTTTGTCACCCGTGACGACTTAGATGGAATACCTCTTTTCTAGTAAAAGTCTGCGGTTCTCTACACTCACCATACGAAACACAGCAGCATTAAGCTGCTATTTTACGCTGGTATTCTGTGAGAGCGTGGTCCTTCCCCGGTCGAGCCGACCCATTCGTGCTACAACTATACTACTAATATAGCTGCTGCATGGCTCTACGTACAACATACACATAAAACATAGCGCAACAGATCAGTAAACTGAAGTGGCATATAGATCGAACAACTGACAAACTATGGAAATTCTTCCCTATCGGTTGTCGGTTCTCGAGTGCCAGCCTCTACCAGTAAGCGAATTGTAGGGCGGCCCTCAGTAGATGGAGTGAAGATCTGGTAAGAGATACAGGAAGTCGATGGATGCAGTTGACTCAGGACGGTGTTTATGTTCAGCAGTGGATATGTGATGGGCTGTAATGATGTTGATAATGATGACAACTCATCTTAATATAATCCCTCGCAAAATATCGTCTCGTGGATGTACATGGAATAAGAAATGACGGATTTAAAAGAGAATCAGAGGACTCTGTGACATGTCTAATTATTTACGTTACTCACATCTGGCCACGTTGGTGCCTTCAGCAATAGCCAGAGCAACGCTCAGTACTACTAGGAATTTCATCATTTTCACTGTTATTTTACTACTTACAATATTCCTAATTAAATTGTGACTGATAATTTCCGCAACTTCCTTGGTTTTTATATGATTCTGTTATCTATCAGGTGTGCAATATCTCCCCAATTAGTTTTATCAAGCGATTATTAAATCTGTATCAAGCGAATTAATCCAAGTTCCCCACAGATTGTTACCAGGGCTGGTTGGTCCATATAGGCATATTTAATTAGTTAAGATATGGCGACGATACAGGACTAGCATGTTAGCTTGAGCTGTAGCCCTATTCCTTCACCCTCATAGTCCAATGGGACGGCAATCCGAAACGATGGGGGACAGGTATCTGATCTAGTTGGATTCACGGCTTTACGTGCTATCCCTGGTACAAAACTCCCTGACTTTCAGCTGTTACTGATGCAATAACTGATTTTTGACCCGACTCGTGATTCGAACCCGATAAATCATTATCAGCAGTCACGCTTACCTAGGACCTAATTGTTTTAGTGATGGTCACTAGACCAATTAAGCCCTAGTTCGTATAGTGTAGCAACATAACAATACAAGCAATCAGTTAGTATTACCCTGTCATTAGTATTAATCTATCATTTTAATTTCAAGATAAACAAAATCTAGGGTACAATTTAACGTTAAATATACAACCCGTGGGTGTCGTAAGAGGAGATAGAGAAACAGGAGATAGACAGCAGCATCTTCCTGATAACATATTAAAATAAATAAACAACTAATCAACCCACCGTCAAGCGTGGCAACTCCAGACAGTCGATCAGTAGAGGTCAAAAGGGGTGGCGTTGGCCGGTTTTTTGGACGTTGCGAAGGCCTTCGATTGTGTTTGGCACAAAGCGCTTCTATCGAAGCTTCCTTCCTATGGGCTTCCAGAGAAATTGTGCAAGTGGATCACCAGTTTACTTGCTGATCGGAGCATCAAGGTCGTAGTAGATCATGCTATCACTAACGTTGTTTCTTCTGCACATCAATCAAATGTTGCAAACCGTTAACGTTCATTGCTAAGCCGAGGATAGCACTGGTGAAACTTCGCAGAGTATCGGAACAAACTTGTGTCTGAAGTCGAGTCTTTATTGAAAAGTCTCGAATTGGGGACTACTAAACCTAGTTCAATTCAATCCCCAGTAGACACAAGTTCCTTCCACTTGACCGCATCCAGCGCAGAGCAGCTCGAATCGTCGACGACCGAGTTCTTTCTAATCAGTTTGACTCACTGGCGCTGCGAAGAGATGTTGCAGCCCTTTGCATTTTCTTTCGCATTTATAGAATAGAATAATTTTTATTTAATATACATTACATGTGTAATTCTTATTGAAAGTCATTTTTCACTTTACCACTGGTTCGAAAAAAAACCCTCTGTCCTGGGAAGAACCAGCAAGAAACCCAGCGGGACTTTTTTTTAAATAAATTTTACAATATAAATTATTACGAACTATTTTCAAAATTTATTTTAGAAACCGCTTGGAAGCGACCACCTCATTTCCAGGGGTTATTATCAACCATGTATTCATTTATACTATAATAACCCCTTTTATACAGTTTCAGCTTAATAAAACATTTGAACTTGGTAATATAAAGAACCTGTACACTTTCCGGGACCTTGTTGTAATAGCGTATACATTGCCCCAAGAATGATTACTGACTCTGTAGAGTCGAGATACTGGCATCACTAGCTTGTGTTTGTTCCAAGTGTTTATAGAATGTACATCACTTTTTTTACTAAAATTATCTTTGTTTTTGTGAACATACATTAAATTTTCGTAAATATACTGAGAGGCCAAACTTAATATATTTATTTCTTTAAATTTATCTCTATGAGACTCTTTCGGTTTTAGATTGTAAATAGCTCTAATGGCCCTCTTCTGTAAAACAAAAATAGTTTCCGAATCAACCGCATTTCCCCATAGCAAAATTCCATAAGACATTATGCTATGGAAATAACTGAAATAAACTAATCTAGCTGTCTCGACACTAGTGAGACCTCTAATCTACTTTACAGCATAGGCTGCAGAACTTAGTCTACTTGCTAATTTGGATATATGGGGGCCCCACTGAAGCCTTGCGTCGAGATCGATGCCAAGAAAAACAGTGCATACAATTTACCACGGGGAATGTTCTAAGGAATTCTTCTGATTAACCCCAGCCACCAAATTTCACGAACGCATATCGCGGCAAAACTCCCGATACCATCCACACCATCTGGATGCTTGGCGATCCACCACTGTACGTTTCACTAGGAGTTTTCTTCCGTGTACGACCTTTCTGTAGAATAGCTTACCACCGGCGATTTTTCCGGACCGATACTACTTATAGACTTTCAAGAAAATAAATAATAAATAATAAATAATAAGTACTTTTATTTCTCAAAAATTAATTATACATGTTTTTGAGACGACCCAGAAAGTATTTTCCATACTTGTACCGGGGATGCCTCGCTCTTCAACCCATTTTACAGTTTTTAAGATTTAAAAGTACTTACATAATTAATAAAGAAAAAGTTTATTACAAAAAATAAAGTTACGTTAAATAAACTTTACTAACTTGTGTGTGTATGTGTGCGAGAGAAAGAGAGAGAGAGAATGTGAGAGAGTGAGAGTATTTGTGTATGTAAGTGCACGTGTGTGTGTGTGTGTGTGTGTGTATCCCTCTACCAGCCCTTACGACTTCAATCTTGGAATCAGGGTAAGCCATTGTGCAGAGAAGTTGTGTAAGTGTGGCTATGTGTGTGAGCCTAATTTATGGTGTATGGAACTTACACAATTGTATCTATGAGTTTCTCTGTTTCATCATAACTTAAATCTGATAGGAAATTAGTTAATATCCTTTTACATCCATATAACTTTTCAGGGTATATATTTAGTTTTCGATTTAAAGTATTATATAAGTAAGCAGACCGTGATGTCAGTTGACGACGAGGAAAGGCAGTACGTACTGCGCGAGATGGTGCAACTTTTTCCATACGTCTTTTATTGACGTTAACTTTACTGGTATCGAAAGGTAGTTTTTGGTGAAGGTATAGAAGAAGTTTCAAAATATATAATTTCCTAACTGATAAGAGTTCACAAATTTTAAGTTCATGTGTTGAATATCTATACGGTTTAAAGTACATAACCTTCAAGAGTGACCTTTGACTTCTCTTCAAGTGAAGAAATTTGGTTTAGTTGCACCACCCCATACAGGATATAAGTATGGACTGTGCAAGGACAATGTAAATCTTGCTTATTAAAGTACTGAACATAACATACTTTAGATTTTTAAAGATCCAGATAAGCTTACGTATCCTGCCAATAATAGTTTCAAGTTTAGTATACCAGGATAGCCTTTGATCGACCATAATACTGTTATTGAGACTCGCACAGGTATGAACCTTGAGCCGAAAAGAGTTTACTCTTTTTTAAAAGACCGGCCACGCATCTGAAATTTCCTTGGTGTTGCAGTTGTTTATGGGCGGCGGTAGTCACTTACCATCAGGTGAGCCGCATGCTCGTTTGCCCCATCTGTTGTAAAAAAAATATGGAAAATATCCTTTCTATGAGAAAATCCTATTTCAGGAAGGCCTATTTCAGCCGTGGATTTTTAAGTGGCTGTAATAATGATGATGGTGATGATGAATGATGATGAATGACGACAAATCAAAATTATATCTCCTACTTCTGCGAAAAAAATCACTTTTAATCTAATTTTACCAATAGACTAAGTCGACAATAAGACTAAGTTAAGAAAAGGAGATATATCTTCAAGAATTTCGGAAAGTCTCACAATTGTTAATGAAAGAGTTGCCTGAAATTAATGGAAGATGGAGTGATGAAAAATATTCGGCTTTTGAAGTAAACATTTATCTAACGAAAGCTAAAAAGTACAAACCGGCTTTAAATGTAAAAAAGTAATAACACTCACAAATCATTTGCAGCTATACGTGGTATAGCCATTTAGCACCGATCCGATTCGAACGGGGAAGGACATACTCTCTCACAGAATACCAGTAAAGTAGCAGCTATATGCTGCTGTGTAAATTGCAGGTACGTCGCCGGCCTTTCATATGTCTATTAGAATCAATCTCGTTATTGAAGTCATAGTAGTCCAGGAGGAATCGGCGCATAAGTACCGAAAACTTTTCCACCTCATTTTTTTTTGTACAATTCTCTTCAAATTGTTCTACTGATGTTATAAATGCATATTGCCATGGGGCAACTTGGTGCCATATTGCTTAAACCGATTTTTTTTAATTGCAAAAAGGTCCTATGACTTTTTACGATAAATTTAATATTTCTGGAGTTATGAATTTTTAATGTTTGAAAATCTCGAATTCGGATACCTTTGACTCGTTATAAATGTATAAAAAATTATTTGTATTTATTCTCGCTTAAGGATATTATTAACTACTGTCTAAAGAATATAAATTTTTCTCTTTTATATTTTATTATTTATCTTTATGTAGTATTAATGGGTCAAATATATCCGAATTTGGGATTTTTCAAAGATTTAAAAATTCATAACTCCGAAAATATTCACTTTATCGTAAAAAGTCTTAAAACTTTTTTATTCGTAGTTTGACAAGGAGTATAAAAAATATATTTTATACTTTATTCTTAATCTTTATGTATTTTTAATGAGTAGTAAAGTATCCTAATTTGGATTTTTTCATACCTTCAAAAATGTATAACTCCGAAATTATTGCAAAAATTCATGGGACCTTTTTTATTCGTATTTCATCAAAAAATATAAAAGACTTGTCCCGTTTTAAAATAATATTTCCTTACAGTTCCGGATAGTTTTCGGTACTCGTGTGCAGATTCCTTCTGGATCATATCTTGATTTTGTGTTATCACTAAGCGGGTGGTAACTAGGAGTTATTTAATTAACAACGTAATCAGAGACTTAGTGTAGACTGCAGGTGTACAATTAAATCACTTTTTATCATTATCGTATAGATTATTATCAGTTAGATGTTACCGGTAAGCAAGTTTATCATCGCGTGGCTGAAA